TGGGTGAAGTGTCCCTTTAATCTCTGTTGAAGATGTAACCTTATCACATAATAAGCTTTACAAGTTTACATCAGCCGTGACATTAGTTAAGTTGCTGTGGTGAGCAATTACTTACATTTTCATTTGATCTGTCATTGTTACACTTTCAATTGCAAAGACACAGCATGTAACTAATGCTAAGCCACTTGTCATTAGTCTAACATGATTACAATTTCTTATGCCGGAGGATCACAAGTATGTAAACAAGCATCCACAGTGTAATTACTCAGAGCATTTTAGATCTGTCAGTCTATTGGCTGCTGTGTATTAAGCCGGGCAAACACTAACGTTGCCCCAAACTAATTTTAGAATTGGGCAGAATTTCTGCCACATCAGTGGTCATGATTGACAGAATACATAATGGTCAGAGCTTCTGGGCCTGTGAAGTGAAGCCAATCTGCATTCTCTGTAGGTTGGCCAGCAGGGGGCGCTCCACTGGCTGCAAAGAAAACCGATACCATGCATTCTGATGGAGAAATGACCCGAATTCTCACTTGATTTATTAGCTCAGCTAACAGTCTCCTAATTATTTTCCTGTCTCAATCGCTAGTTACAAGTCTTTTTCCATACAGATAATAATGTATGCTTTTGGGCGTGGCTAACTTGTGATTGCCAACTCATTAAACGGTCAAACTGGAGAAAACCGACTTCGGTTTACGTTCAGTGTTAGTAAGTCCTGGACAGTCAATTCATTGGCACAGTGCAAGCATACAAGTTGCAGATTCTGGATGTGCAGAGATGCTCATTAAAACATGCAGTGTGAGTTAATAAAACATAAGATATAAATAAAAACGCAGTGTCTGCCCAGCTTTAGACAGATTCAAAGCACAAACTACGACCCAAATCCAGACTTAACTGTCCAAACAGCTACCCACTGCAATCAGCAACGCATTGAGCCCTTAATTGTTCAAACTATTGTTCTCCTTCTTACTCTCACTCTTACCGTAGACCTTATTTACAACACTCAAGCTATGGATCAATTTATACATATGAGAAACTTGTATAACATTAAGGCCAACTTTACCATCAACCATTGTTATCAAAAGTCAGGGTAGATTTGCCACAAACAACAACAACAACAACATGCTTCACTCAAACACGAAAAAGAAAAAAGAAAAAAAAAGGACTATTTTTACTACTCGTATGCATAGACTAGAAATTCTAGGGCTCGAGTTTAACCCTGAGAGTTATAGCAATTATTGTCCATCAGAGTCAGGTGAGTCAAGCTCAATGGGCAGAAATTGGTGTCGAGCTGTACGCAGACATTTTTCAACTGAAATTGGATAAATTTGTGGAAACGCCAGCCAGCATACACAATACCAGGACCCTGAAACTGCGGTAGCAAACGTAATTTAACCAGCATTCATTTTATTATTTACACCTGTGATTTTCCGTCAGAATGTCTACCATGAAAATAGCCAACTGATACTTTCTTTTCCTCTTTGCTTCTGAGTGTGTTCGTATTTTCTGTCTAGATTTGGGGACATGGTGCAAGCTACATGTTCACAACTTGTGATTAATAATAATAAAATTACATTTAATTTCCGATTGATCGATCACTGATTGTAATTAGTCGATATTAGCTCTAATTAGACTGATCAACAATCTCTATAAACGCAAAAGTTATTAGGAAAGTTATTCAGTCTTTGACACACATAGATTTACTTGGCCAGGCCAGCAATATATTACAGGCCAGAAACTCATTTTAGTGTTTTTCACAAAAACAGTAGGAGAGATGTTATCTAGTGGATATTTTATAAGCAGGTGCAGCAACAGTGTCGTTTTCGTTAGGAATCGTCATTAACGAACCTTCTCATGCTGCTGTGAAAACAGAATCCCAATTGAAAACATTAAAAACGTGAGTTGTGTTTCTTGGGCGACTTTATAAAGCTTAATACTGACCAACCAAGTAACGGAGCAGACACATACAGCCTGTATGACAGGCAGGGCGGGGCAAGAAGGTGTGTGAGAAAGAAGTGTAGGTGTGTGCGTACGTGCATACGCTATAAACACAAGGCTTTAAATAGTCCTAGTGATCGGTACCGGCCGATACTGCTACTATTGATCGGTCATTGGCCTCACAAACCCTGATCGGAGCACCCTAAATTAGAGGATTATCATTTGTAGAAAGACAAAAACATGACATAAATCATAATCAATTGTGGATCCCTACACCCGGGTCTGTTAAACTGATTAATAATGCAGAAAATTACCTCTATTATATAATATAAATAGGCCAACATGACAAAATGCTGCTGTTTGAGTTTCACCTGCATACATTTTACTACATTCAAATTAAAACAAAGTTGCTCGCTCTTGACTAACTGTGCCAAGAAATAATTAGCAGAGACATTCAAATCTGTTGCGATGTATGTGCATGATGGACTGCGTGTGAAGAGAAGGGCATGTTCACACCAAAGAATGTGTATATTAACAAAGCAGCAGCATTGGAAAGAAGACAAACTGGATCTGCAAGAATCACAAATAGCCACAAAATGCATTAAAGGAGAACAGATAAGGAGCAAGATAGAGGCTAGTTATTCCAAAAAACATCTGAACCATGAATTTAAATCTCAGTACAGCCCTCAAATTATGTCCACGTGCATCAAACTCACTAAAAGCTCACGTTTTCCAGCATCCATCAGCAGATCTGGCATCGCACAGATTAGAACATCTGAGTGAAGCTACTTTGACCTTTCACATCGAGAATGGAAAGCATTATTTTAATACTGCCATTGCACACGCACAAAGCCTGCCATCCATCTCTTGCACTGTCCAAAGAAATCACAAACTAGACCCCCTACTTCTACTGACAGGTGGAGCGATTTGCTCGACTGAAGCTGGGTATCGAACTGATTGTTCTACTTCAATTTAGGAAAAATTAAGCTACAATTCTGAACAAGTGTATGAAATATAACACATTTCCAAATCTAGACAGCATAAGTATAGTAGTCACAGCATGTGCATATTTATGGTAAAGAGATAATGTCAAGAAGAAGTAGCATTCTACAATGTTTTACTGTTGCAATGTTTTTCTTCTTTTTTAAAAATGTGTTTGACAAGATTATCATCCAAGTTATTACTATTTTTTATAGTCCTGATCAATATCCACGACTTTGATTAGTTGACATTATAAAACATGTTTGGGGTATCTACATTTCAATATGGAAAATGCTGTAAGTAATATTAAGAAGAGGAGGAGGAAGAGGAAGTCAAAGATTACAGATTAAAGGGTAAGCGATTTCCAAAAGCTCCTCCTTAAACAAAACCACGTTGAACTAATTTGCTACAAAACCCTGTCCAATGGGAAAACATGATTCCCACAGTACCTGCACAAGAAAAACAAAGAACACTAGTTCAACCTTCTAACAAGTGCTGCCTCTGACATTTCCTCTCCACCACAGGTGTAAATACACCATCTCTTATCAGCTGTCTCTTGTGCTACGCTCAGACTCTTTTCATTTCAAATTTGAGGCAGCGTCCATGGTATTGTGGGGTTTCAGGTTTATTTCTAATTCAGCACTTTGCAGAGAGAAGCTGTGCAGTTAGAGCTGAAGTGAAGATTGCTGGGAGGATTTACCTGTACTCGTGACTGTCCTGGAATCTCGCGCAGTTGGCAACACGCTGCGGTGCCGTCTCCATTAGCAGCTTCTGAGTAAGCCGGTTGCTCGGTGTGGGGTCACACTCGGGCTGCTCCTCTGGCTCGTGGTCACATCTCCATTCCTCATCTTCATTTAAAGTCGGTAAATAACCCGACAGCCCCTTTCCATTCCCAGAAACAGAGCTGTGATCGCTGTACAGCTTAGGGCTCTCTCCTCCTGTCCGCGTATATTCCAAATATATGTCTGACTTGAGAAATAAAGGGTAGGTGTTTTCCTCCATCATAGTCTGTATCTCAGTCTGAGCCTGGTCAAACATTGCAGGGTCAATGTGAAGCTTCATGACGCAGTCTTTGATGAAGGACTTGGTAGCTGGTTTGATCTGTCTGGAAACAATCCCATTGTTGTCCAGGATGTATTTCTTATAGATAGCTTTTGCCAGTTTTACCTTCTTCTCCTCGTTACCTTCATTAGCTTCAAGTTTGCGGAAGCCACTGCATGCAAACCAGAAGTCCAACATATCTGCACACTCCTCCTGCTTAAGGAACGTCCTAAACAGATGGATGCCATCTTGGTCATCCAGGAGGGAGTGAAGAGATTCTGCCCATTTTAAGTAGGGTGGTGTTGGGGAAGCACTTCCCTCTGGCTCATAACCCAGGTCCAAGTCAGGCCGCCTGGGCGTCGCCACAGACGCCTCACATTTGAGGCTCTCGTTCTTTGAGGAGAAGCCCAGGTTGCTGTACTGGCGTCCATCACTGCACACCAGCTCACCTTCTTCCCCTGGGACTGGAGGTCTGGGAGCATCCTCAGTGAAGCTGCCACCCAGGTCTGCGCAGTAGCGCCTTTTGTCGCTTATGCTCATAGTCCCAGCATCCATAAACCACGTCCTGGTAGAGCCCACACTGCACAACAATTAGAGCCAGACCTCTACTTATGCCACTGCAAAAAAACTCCTGCAAGGAGGAAAAATAGATAATGAGACGCAGCTTCATCACATCATTGAAAGGTAGAGTAGTACAAGCCTTGACAGGGCAACAATATGTAAAGATATTTTAACACTCATTCTCAGATTAGTGGAAAAAAACATCTATACAGCAATTTATTGATACCAAGTACAAGTACATTTATAAGACTGACAAAAGGTCGATCGAATATGTGCCACAGTTGCCATATGCCTGGTAGGAAGAGCACTAGTACCTCTGGGGGGGTATTTTTTTTACATTTTGCACAGTTTGCATTTTTAATCAGATTTTCATGGAAAAACTCATCATGTGGCCAGTTTTCAGTTGAACATTTAAATTAATGCAAATTCTGCAGGAATCCAGAGGAATTGAAAATGTGAGACAAGCTAGTGTAACCTCTAAAACCAGAAAGCAGCTTCTGGTTCAACATTAAATGCAGCACATTCTGTACGGTAGGCTGGTTATGTCTGCCGTTTACAGTCTGATATTAGTAATATAGTTATACATTCTTTAGCAATTACAGTACAGTGAACTAACATTTGAATTCGGGAAATAATGCAGTATAATAACTGTGGAAACTGGTGATCAAATCAACTCAAAAAGCAATAACACAACAATATACTATAAAACTTTCATTCACTTGGTCTGTGACTGCATATTCTGCATAACATCTGCAACCCTAAGCAGAAACTGATAGCTGGAGTCATCAGGTTGATAATGTAGTTTGATTGTCTATAATGTAGTTTGATTGTCTATAATGTAGTTTGATTGTCTATAATGTAGTTTGATTGTCTATAATGTAGTTTGATAGTCTATAATGTAGTTTGATAGTCTATAATGTGGTTTTTAATGTGGTTTAATTGGTTTATAATGGTGCCATATGGACGTCACACTCAGAGTTATGTGGCTGTGCTGTGGTAATCCAGGCCAAGAGTCGTGGCTTCAGTGCTGTCTGTGCAGCTGAAGTCAGCTTTCTACTAGGCAGTAGTATGAATATAGTGCTAATGTAGTTTTCAGTAATCTCTGATTCATATGCATAAGCATATCATTGCTTTGCAAAGCTACTCCAGTTTCATCCAAATTAGTATTAGTGTATCATCACAATGATAAATTCACTTGAGGTTTACAGTATAAATTTAATAACGCAGCAGCCTTAGCCTCTCTACTATTAGCTGATATGAGTAGCACTGCAAATAAATGATACTTACTATTGATCTCGAGTTATATTTTCTCCTTATTTCATCCCCCTGCTATCACAGTGCACAGTCAGCTGCAGAGTAGGATATCTAATGATTTTAGGGATTGAATGTCTTGTTCAAGGACACATCCTGGTTCTCATGTATTGTCCCTGAGCATCTTTGCTGAGCAAAGACACAGCAGTAGCTCTGTCTCCACCTCTACGGACACCACGCACAGCTTATGATTAAGCTTCCTAGAATGTCAGTAACCATTTTTATCACAGATTTCCTGATATAACCAGTGCCACAGTGCAGAAAAAAAGGAAACAATTTTTCTCTGGCTGTTTCAATTCTCACATCCATGCAGCTGCAAACATTGCTTGACAGCTGTGGGCAGGACAAAACCATGGTGACCAGCAATGGCTCTGACCAATCAGAACAGGGAGAGTAAATGGTTGATTAAAACAAACAGCCATGAATTCATTGACAGTTTAGGGATTCAAAATAAATCTTGAAAAGATTATTTAGATTTATAATTTCAACCAGGCTGACAAGTTGGGTTTACTATAGCTGTGATTTCAAAGAATTACTATTTATTTAATTGCTACCATTACATTCCCTTAAGGGCACACCCACTCTCTGTCTTGTTTAATACAGATACAAATCATTTCCCTGATTGAACAAAGAGTACAGACACAAATTGTCAACAGTACCTTTTCTCTGTGAACAACACGTGCACTGTGCATAAAGCCAGGTGTATGCTCGACTTACAACCATAAGCATAAAATGTGGGCAGTTTGGATACAAGCACATCTCCTCCCTAGTTTATCAACGCCAGGGATGTTCCGGTCCAACCTACCTGTACTGAGTGATGCATCGGCACGAGAGCAGTTCCGTTAGCGCATTGATATTTAAATTAACGGTTCTGCGGTCACAGGTGTGTGGCAAGACAGGGATATTCAGGAAGGGTTAGACCTGGTTTCAGCCGCTCAAAGCCGGCTTCGGGAAATGTCCCCCTATTTTTTTTTTTTCTAAAACTGTATCCGTTTGTTTCCTCTGAAGTGAGCCTCTCATCACATTCATGTCTTGGCCTCTCCAGAATGAGCAGAACAGCAGCGGCTGGTGGGGGAGGGGAGCCAGAAACAAACTCCGTACACACACACATATACACACTCACACAGAGAGCCAGGCCTTTCAGCAGCCGACCGACAAGTGCACAACTTTGTCACACTATTCACCTATTAATATCTGTGCTACCTCCGCTAACAGCTGCTAAACTACACGAACAGCACAGCGACCGCAGACATTTCCCCTACCGTCAGAAGGCACAGAGGGAATCCCACATCAATTTCCGAACAGATTTACAACCAGCAAAGCGATGGCACATATCTCCCGACTACCGCAATCCCAGTCTCTGTGCTGGGGGAGAAAAAAAAGTGACATGTACTGTACCGGTGGAAATCTTCTTGCTGCTTTCGAGTGCATCGGGAATTTGAACCTGCACAAGTCACCGCCGACAATGTCATAGTTGCGAATTGTAAGACTTTAAAAATAACAAAGAAAACAGTCCGCTCTCCACCTCTCCATGGCTGTCTCTCACTGTCTGTGCGGAGCTCAGGCTACACAGCAGATGATGTACAGCGCCTCGCCCGTTCACTACACACATTACCACTGTTTAGTTTTGGTACATGTGGTACACTGATTTCTTTCTCTTTTTTTTGTCTCCCTCTTTCAACAATTTAATTTAATTTTTGCATCCCTCCTTGCTCTTTGACTTACAATCTACTGAAATATAGCTCAACATTTAAAGACATATTTCAAAGTTGAGCCATGTTTATATTTGTATTGTTTATTATATGCTATTTATAAATGATGAGGCTGTTTCTACTAATGCAAATTATATTATTGATCATGTCAGATCAACAGCCCACATTATAATAACAGTCTACTGCAGACATTTAGTATTGCATTTCCATAAACCTGGTGGGCTACAATTAATGCAGCAGATTTTAAAGTTGCTTTAAAGGACGAGTGTGTAGGATTCCGTGGCATCTAGTGGTGAAGTTGCATATTGCAAGCATTTGAATACAGCTCAGCCTTCCAAGCATGCAGGAGAAACTACGGTGGCTGTGGAACTCGTACAAAACACGAAAGCCAGTGTTCGCTTGGTCTGTTCCTGGGTACTCTAGAAACACTGCAGTTCAACATGGCCGCCTCTGTGGAAGAGGACCCTTAACCCTCAACTTCATGTTTGGGACCCTTTTCGAACAAAACATAATGAGACATATATGACGCATATGTGCAAATGCAATCAAAGTGTACTTTGAATAGGTTGGACAACAATGTGCTTTGGAGACAAACAGTCTGAAGGTTTGCATTCCAACCAAAGGCTTAATCAGATGACTTCACTGATTAGTTAACATAAAGGGGCTTTATCAGCTCAATCAAGACTGGCACAAGTTTTAGTTTTGCTGTTGTTAGGTGGTGCATTTTTACCACCAGGGAGTTTCACTAGAACAGCTGACATGGTGGTAAATACCAGCAGTAAACTCATGATACCTAACTCATACCCTGAGTTATGCTATTTTACTTCAACATGTGATGGACAACTGGCCATAACATTTCCGGGCTTCCAACAATATGCTAAGTTAATCTAATGTCTCATTTCCAATATAAACAATGCAGTGACGTTTCATTGGTCTGTTTTATCTGTCATATTCATCGGTGACATTAAAAACAAACACTTGTTTCTTGATGTTATCCAAAGTTCCCTTGGAGATAAAACCAATAGATCTACAGTGAAAACCAAACTAAGCAGTAACATATGCCTTCTTGTAACATAGGCAGTGTTAGAAACAGCCATTAACATGCAACTTTGCCCCATTAGACAAAATGTAAATCATCTGACTGTTCTGTCTGAGAATAATGATAAATAATAATTTGCCTTTATATACTGTAACAACTAGTATTAATGCTTTGCAACAAGACATTCAGTGCAACAATGTTTCAACTCAAAGAATTGTACTACACTTAGCAGCGCTGTTAGATACACTTGATCGTGTCATTACTTCTTGACTTTGAAGTACAAAGAGTTAAGTATAGACCAAATGCAGCAATAAAGGCTGTTGTGCTTTCATGCCCGGCAATCATTGAGCAGTCACGCAGTTTTTCTAAGATGAAAGGCCAACGTATGACCATAAAAACATAAACACATTTGATTATGTAATTAACTCAAACCATTTGGGAGCACAAGAACGAGTAGGAATATATATTTCACACTCCTTCTCATCATATCACCTATTGCCTGCTCAAGCCTAGAAACCTGTTAAAGTGTGCAGTGTACACAGTGCTTACAATATTTATGCCAGCAAGATAAAACATGAAAAACACCCAACACACTTCAGCTTCCTCGAGGCAAAATTGATTTTGGGCAGCAACAATTTACGCAGCCTGATACTCAAATACTCAGTTTTTCTTTATAGCACCAATACGTTTTGTCTGACCATTTACTATATTTCTTTTATTGTTGTTTACTTCCAATAGCACGTCAATGTTCTCACAACATAGACTAGAAAATTATTCCAGCCATACTGATTTATTTACACTTCCTTGATGATTTCTGTACAGTGTTCCATTTTAAACACACACTATACAGGTAACCATAAAATGCTTGATTTTTGACAAAAGACTATTGAAATATAGACTGAAGATGTAACAGTCCGTCTGATGAAACACACAAGGCATCTGTTTCATGTGTGGGTGGGTGAGCCTATGCAAAGAAAATCAGGTCTCATAACATTTATTTATTGCTACAATGCGCAAATTGCCTTTGTGCAAAAACATTTTAACACTTCCAACACATGCCAGGCATTTTAATTGGTACTCAGAAGTTAAAGTACATTATTTATGAAAAGAGCTTCCTCTCACTGAACATTCATTATGACAGTCAACCTGGGTCTCACTGGGTCACTATCAACAGACCAGTTGCACTGCTGCAGGAGATGAAGAGAGAGTTACTGTCTTCCACTTGCAAAGGGGCTGAAAGCTAAAGACGGACCAAATGCTTTTGGTTCAGTGGTTTTCCTAAAAGGTCCAGTGTGTAACATTTAGGAGGATCTATTGGCAGAAATGGATTATAATGTGCATAACTATGTTTTTATTAGTGTATAATCACCTGAATCTAGGAATTGTTATGTTACCTTAGTAGCCTTTTATATCTACAGACGCTGCGGGTTGGCTTCCATGGAGGCCGCCATGTTTCTAACCCGGAATGGACAATCCAAACACTGGCTCTACATAGGGGCCACCGTAGTTTCTCCTTCACACTTGGAATATCATCACTACACCGCTAGATGCCACTAAATCCTACACACTGCTCCTTTAAGTATTCTGTCTGTGCCTGTGTGTGTGTGTGTGTACACATCTACCAGCTCTTTGTGTTTACATTTTGTAAATACTTCATAGGAAGATGATTGAGAAAATGCTGATTTACATGCAAATCAACATGTTTTACCTTGAGCTTGATTGTCTTCCTCACACATCCTCCAGCAGTACATCCATTTACTGAGGATTCCATTGCATGGTTATTCGACACAGCGGGCAGCAGTAACGTTAACATCCCTCTTATTGCCCTGACACCAGTAGGCCTGGCCAAAGCAGAAAGTCGCCATAAAGGTTTGTCTTTGCCATCCATTTCTTCCTGAAGAAAAAATAATATTTGTTAAGTCTTATTCATACACAGCAGAGAATGAGTAACTACTGTATGATTTTAATTTTGCAATGTTAAAGACATTTCTTGTACAAAATATATATATGTATTAATTTGCAGATACCAATATGAATAATATACTATATATTCTTTAATAAAAAAATATTTGGAAACTCTGGAAAGTAGATCATGGTTGTAACACAGGTCAAGCTTCATAATCTTTCATGCCCTAAACTGATAAGGTAGCATGGTGCCCTCTACTGAAACAGAGTTTTCCCAACAGTGACTTTCTGAATATAAAGATTTACTGGATTGAAAGAGACACATTTTTTGCATGAGAGTATATTTTCTGTTTAGCAACACAGGAGGCATACTGATGGAGACAAAATATACTGCTTAATACCACTTCTTTAAACGTAACATCTAGTAAGACATAACACATGAAGCTCTACTACTCAGAGCATTAAGAATAATCCATTACTTCCAGGAGTCTGAACCCATCATGAAGCCTCAGCAACCGAACTTAATATGATACGGCTGATTAAAGAACAATTTTCTTTGTCATCCATGTGAGAATTGTTGCAGTGCATAAACCACCGACCATGGCTTCAGTTTTACAAGTTGACACGGAAGAGAGCATAGGAGTACGTGGAAGAATCATCAGAAAGGCAAATCACATATCAAGGTTTCAGGCATGGCACGCTCTCTAGCTCACCCCAGCTTTTCTGATAACTACACTAAAGCAACACTGAATTATCAGCAGCGCTGTTCTAAACATCAAAACTGTGGGCAGAACCTGGCATGATCAAAAGGACGATAGAACTGATGAGGAGAAACAAGAGAAAAGGAACACATAAATTAATGCAGACAGCTCGTGTGGAGTTCATAAAGAGGACAAACGGTTTTCAGACCGGTCTTTCAGCAGCAGCTACAGCTTCACAGTTAATCAAAAGAGGAGGGCCATGAAAAAACTACCACACAAACTATAAACACAGCTTCAAGACAGCTGATGTGACTCCACATCACTCAGAGCTAGGACCAGTCAAAAGCAGTGTCTGATGTTGATAGACTTCCCACACTCAGAGGTTCAAAGTTACATCACTAATGATATACTCAAGCAGAGCTTGTAGATAGTTTTGGATTTTCATTTTTAAAGCACTCCATACCCACTAATGTGGAATCTATTATCTGTGGGCTACTGGGCATCTAATGAACTCCATGGATGCAACAACTTCAACTACTACTCATGAGCTGCACCCATTTCTTTGTTTCAATTCAAAATATACATCTTTATTATTTTTGTATTACTTTTATGGCATTTTGGGCTTATTTAATCATTAACTATGAAGGGAAATTTAATCCCTGGCCCCTGGCCGTGTCAAACCGGGGTTATTGTAAATCTTGTACATAGCATACATTTCACTAATCTACCAGGATTATCATAAATAACTTTTTAAGTACATAGACAGCTGTGAGTACACAGACTTGAATTACAATGACAGCTAATAATAGGTAATTTATGGTTTTTGACAGGGCATTTATCCATCAAGCTTTACTTGTTCCAAGAAAACTTGTTTGCTTGAGACTTTTTCCCCTTGTATCAGAATATCAAATGATAATGCATTTTGACTTCTATTGGCATCCTACTTTCACACATTCACAAACATTTTCACAGTAAACTGCTGTAATGAAAGGTTTCAGTAACGCAAGGGCAAGAATTTGTGTGACCAGAAGGTTGGTAAACATAATCTCTTGAACAGCTAGCAACAGCTGGGTAAGGAGGGTGAATGAAAAACACTCTTCCCTTCCTCGGCAACTACAAACAAGAAGCCTTAAGCATGTGGCCCAGTGGAGCTGCTCAGCAGGCAGAGGAACAATAGGAGACGTTTCTCTTTCAGATCTGAGGTGCGACTGTA